ATGCAGAAAAGATTGAAGGAAGTTATTGCAAGTTTTTGGCTTGAAGTGTTTTATATTAGTTTTTAAAAGACTGATAAAACTTCTAAAAATCAGCTTGATTCTTCTAATTTGTAAAAGGTTGCTAGAATGATGGTCCATCACAAAAATGATTTTTTTTCTAAATAAGTCTTTTAGAAATGCAAGTTGATGCTGTCTTTTTAATTGGAACAAGTATCATGAAGTGGCACTTTATCAGAGTTAATTATAAATATTTAATATAATCTGGAGTTCACCAAGTACTCTGTTGAGACTCGTGATTCTGTATGAAAACAAGTTAAATTAGTGCCCTACCATTTTCTGTTTGGAGTCATTCTTTTTGGTGATTTCCACAGCTATTGCAGTTCTAATCACGGTTAATCTACTGTGGCTGTACTTAAAAAGCTTAAATAATCCTTCCTTCATAGTAAGAAGAAGGTGCTTCTTGCATGCAGTTTTGCTCCCAGTAATAAAAACAAAATGCATCATGTTATTGCAGATTGCAGTTTACACATTTCAAACCATTTCCTAACCATTTTTTTAAATATGTAGCACTAATTCTAAGCTTTTAGAAGTTGAATGATTTCTTATCTACATTTCTGAATATATATAAATACATAAGTGTCTCTGCATGTGGGCATATAGCATATATATGACTCATAAATAGATAAGAGATTAATATGATCACTAAAACCAATCCATTAAATAAAATTAAATTGCACAAAATAATAGCAGACATAAATAATTGACAGCCATTCCAATACAATGCATTCTGTGCACCCAAAATCTTGGCACATGTCCCCATCTTAGTCGTGAGGGACCAATTCTGACCTTGGGTTGGGGGCACGCCATTCCATAAGATTGGGGCAGACATGAAAAGGCTTGTTGTTGAATCCTTACCTCTGGGCTCCCTTAGGGGGAATCTTCAACATGCCTTTTTAGAATAAGCCCTATTGAGAGAAGCTGGTCCTCCAGATACCAAGCATATAAACTATAACAGCACTTTGAAAAACAGCTGTATCAACTGGAGTTTTTGAATAGTCTTCATAGGCAGTGTGTTGAAGCATTCCATCTTGGTGGGATTCAGCCCAATCCTGAGTAATTTGCAAGCTTTACAGCAGATTTTGGCTGAGAATTAAAATAAAGTGTAAGTATGAAAAAAAATATTTTTTTAATCTGTAAGGTCATGTCAGTTCTTCAAGTTTCATTCTCATTCAAGTTTGAGTCCAGACCCTGAAGACTTTTATGAAGATATATTTTTCTCTGTTCTGATTTTTTGACCATTTATTTCTATTTTAATTACATGCTTTAGGAAATTTTACACTCAAATGTGTGTTGATAGGCTTGGCTTGTTACTTTTTAAACTATAGATGGACTCAATGTAATGTTAATTGATGTACATTAATTTTATAAGTTTCAGTTCTGTAATTCCCAGCATGCTGGCTGGGGGTTTTTGAGAGTAGAACTTCACAGATCCAACTGGTACCCTGACTAGATTATTGGAGACATAGAGGTGGGCCCAAAATATAGAATATTTTGGTAAACAGTTAATTTACTGTTTCCTACACATAAAAATGCAGTTTAAGAATTTTGATGACAACCATATCCATGCTATTATTAATAGGACTATTTAATTTCTGTTACCATATCTGTATCTTCTGCTATGTCATAACCATGGATATGATATGCATAATTTAAGGGCTTATTAATAAACTAGTCATTTTTGTATAAAAATAGCAAAAACTGCTTAGCCAAACAATTTAACGAGAGCTTCATATCCATGGAAGAGTACTATATTTATATACAAAGCTATTTTTTCTTCCTGGTGATAAAATATGTAGGTGCATCTTTTTCAAATATATTGAATGAAACAAAATGCTTCAGATGTGGTTGTCAAAACAAAAGTATGCATGAATGAAAATAAATACCTTTAAATGGATTGTCCAAACAATTTCTGACATACAGTGAAGACCAAAATAGATTATACGAGAAATTTTATAAGCTGAAAATGTTTGAATATTTTTTTCAAGATTTCTGTGATAATGATGGGTTTTCCCCAAAAACTCATCCTTGGCAAACTGATTTAATTTCACAGGCCATAGATCCCAGATTTCTAAAATAATTTGTGGAAAGTATTCACTGAAATAGCAAGATGCAGTCTCGAATATTTAAAGACCGCATTTCCAGACGATCTGCTAGAGGAGCCATTGCGTTAGCAAAAAATTTGGTTGTTATCCCACAGGAATGCAATTTACTTCGCACAGCTGATGAAAATCTGTGAGATCTTCATTTCAAATAGCCAATTAAAATGGAAGTTGTCAGAGTTTTCTCAAGACGAGCAAGCTAGCATACTGACAAGAAATTAAAGAAGCTCTTACATAGGTTAGAGAAATGTACAGTGACCAAATAAATATACTAGCATTTTATGTAGCTGACTAGAGTCTGTGTAATGCCTAATGGGAAAGGTTCTTTCTGCATTATTTAAAATGGTTGTCTGAACCCATAGCCCCGGGGGAATTAAATATGAATTTCATACCCTGTGTACATAAATTAATTCTAGTAGTTTGGACTTTTAGAATAGTTCATTCTGTCTAAACTCTGTTAAATTTAATTAAAGCAATTCAATAAAAGATCATACAATGAACCCTTGTTAATTTGGATTTTTTTTTTCAAAACTGAATGTGTAAACAAGATGCTGTTTAGTTTTCTTTTTTCCAACTTGCATTAACTGAGCTTACATATATGGAGACTTTTTAAAACAGACAAAATTCTATGGATCCTTTCTTGGAATGGAATAGAATGCTAAGTTTAGTCTCATGACAGTCCCAAGTGTCTACAAACCAAGAAAATAGTGAAATTCTGGTTTATTAGTGAAGTAATTTGTTCTCTGCACACCCTATTAAAGCATAGATTAGTAATTCTTGGCCATTATCTATTACTGTTACACTTTCAGATACATCTCTATATTGGATAACCTAATCTTGATGTCAGGAGGGAGCAAATTTAAAGCTCCTTTCCAAGAATATTATCAAGGTAATGGATGTGAAGAATAGGATTTCTCCAGTGTTATACAACTGAGATTTCTGTTTACCATAGATGTTTGTCTACTAAAAAAAAGACATTTTAATCAAGACTAGGGGAGGGAAACTTGAAAAACTGCCTGAACAATCCCATGTCTACATTGGTTGTGTTTCTTTTGACTTAATAAAACTGCTACTTTATAGATACGTGAACTATTGTTTGTCTTTTCTGCAATAAGTAGCATTTCATCATCTTAGTTAATGAGGTTATTGGTTAATGAGTTTATGTCTCCTTATGTGCATACATTGTTATGTACATCTATCAAAATGTACATACATTCTATCATGGCAGTAAACTATTATGGGGTGTGAGAAGAATGTGTATACATACTGTAAAGCTATGTACTGAGTCTCATGATTTGCCATGAAACTCAGAGGTTGAGGAAACAATGGTATGCAATTGTGAAGGAGAAGTAAAGAAGAAGAAAAGAAAGGAAACAGTTGTACCACAGAGACATTCCTATGGTAATAATTACCAGATACTAAGAGCTAAGCAGGAAAATCATATGGCCTGATTTTTTTTTTAAAATAATTGTACAATTACAAATATTAAATATTCAAACAGCAACAGTGAGACATTTTACCACTTATTCTATCTGTGTTTCAGAATTCTAGGCAAACATAGATAGTTTTCAAGTAATCCTGTCCTTAGCACAGATGGTTAAAGTTGTTTCAACCAGATGTGGTTCTGCTATTGAGAATCCTAAATAAGAAAAATAATGAGATTTTCAAGTAAGATAAAGCTTATTTCAAGAATAGATTTGCATGTAAGCTACTTATGTATGATTCTGTCCCGAAGCTGCAGTACTCTCAAATTCCTTCACACTTATGATCATCCATAGGGATGCTGCAGTGTCACCCACCTATCTTCTCCCCCACCCTCCACACCAGGTCCCTGCAAGCATTTCCCTCCTCCAACAGCTCCCCACTGGCCTTAGACCTGATTCCTACCCCACCAGGCCCCACACACTCCTTCTCAAGTATGTTTTGAAGAGCTCTGACACCTTCCATAGCATTGGAATAGGTCACTGTCACTTAGCCTCATGGCGTGATCCCAGAATTGCACCATGTGGCCCAGGGACAAAGTGCTCCATTTTGCTGTCTTAATGTGGATTGCACAGTGCTGCAGAAGCTTCTTGCATCTTTTTTCAGTGCTGTGCAACCTCAGGACCTGGAGATTTCTGAGAGGCTTGCAGACCGCATTAGCAAACAGAATGGGTTACTTTGTCTCTTGGCCACGTAGTGCAATTCCAGGATGAGTCGCCATGTTTTCAGTGGCTGAATTGCTTTCTGGTACTTTAAATATCACTGCCACTTCCAGAATTGTGCCATATGGCCACGTGATGAAACAATCAATTTCAGCACTCTGGAAGGCCTCGGCACTCTTCAAAAGATAAGTGAGGAGGGGGTGGGAATCAGGCCTAAGGCTTGGGGGAAACTGGTGGGAATGGGGAAAGACCTATGAGGATCTAAAGGGCAGGAAGCAGAGCCCAGGGTGTCTCAGGGTTGGGGGAGGCCTTGGTAGGGCTAGGCTGGCAGGACTGGGCTTGTGCTAGGCATCCAAAGGCCTCCCCCACCTCTGAGTCACACCATATTCCACTTAGTGGTCTACACATTTGTTTAACAATTGCATTGGTGGGAGGAGCAGGGATGGGGGAATTATTAAGTGAGATACTTAATTTAACAGCTATTGCAACATGCAATTGTAATGGGTAGCTCTAATATGGTCATATCTCAAGGACTTCCTGTAAATAATTTGTAGAGCACAGTTTTTTAAAAATCATTTTTCTTTTCTTCTGTCTCTAAAAAAATTAATGATCGAAGGTCAATATGTAACAAGGGGCATATAGCATTTGTGTACCTGTTCCAAACAATAATTTCTGACTAATTCTCTATTTATTTCAGTGTGATCGCTGTCAGCCACTGTACAATGACAAGCCATTCCATCCAGGAGATCAAGTTCATGCTTATAATTGCAAACCTTGTCAATGTTTTAGCCATGCTGTAAGCTGTCATTACAACAGGACAATAGATTACTTTCCTAATGAATATTATAGAGGTGGTGGTGGAGTCTGTGATAATTGTCAACATAACACCTCAGGTAATTATCACAATCAAGTGGAATGCACATATATTTGCAGGGCCATATGCAGATGTTTTGTGGCTGGCTCTTCCAAAGTATCATTAATTAGAAGTGGATATAGAAAACGTAGAATTCTATAATGTGAATTATTTCCACCCAACCCAAGGACATTATTTATTGTGTAAATCCATGCATTACAGAAAGAAGTAAAAATTATGTACTAAAAAGTTGTAAGTCTGTTGGAAATACCAAGGTACAAAATAAGATGGAGCCTGTATCGCTAATTTCTATACATGATTTGCATGCATGTGTATTATTTGTAATATACACGATCACTATTGAAAGATCAAAGTATTTGTCACATTATGCAATACATATTATATGGAAGGGCCAAAGAAGGCATATTTTGCATAGACAAGATCCCAGATTTGTCCAGCACTGAACTGACTGAAATTTAAAGATTTTTTTCAGTTAAAATATCATAAATGGAAAATAAGTAATGAAGTATAGTTTAATTTAGCAATTTAAGTATAATGTCAGAATACTGTATGATAGTTGTCAAGAAAATAAAGAACACAGAGTTGCTATCAGAAGTCATTATAATATGATTTTGCTTTGGATCAGAAGCCACTTTAAAGAAGGCATGCCCATTCCAATAAAGGGGAAAGAACAATATGCTATGGTATTTGTGATTTTCCACAAATTCCCCTTTTAATAGGACCTTGTTGCTCTGATTGTTCTGATGATAGGTGTTCAAAAAATACAAAACCAAACTAAATTATAATGGGATAACTAGATGAGATTAGGCAGTAATTTAGGGATATTTTGCACTTCTGTGTCATTTAAAAATAAACACTATTGTTTTTAATCTCAGTGTATTATTGGGAAAAATTCCTATGTGTAATTCAGAACAATAGATACCCTCAAGTAGTATAAATTCTACTAGAACAAACTAACTCCTCTTCCTAAGGCAGTTTTGTTGGCTATTCTTCATGTGAATGGATCCTTGAATTTGCAGAAGTGACTCTGATCCAATGAATTATTTTAAGTACAGGACAACTCCACTGCAATCCTCTAATTTCATACAATTGTATTCTAATTTTGTTTCATGCCAAACATTTATAAAACAAGAACATGTACCTGCTTAAATCATCATTTTGCATGGTGATATTTTTTGGAGCTTTCAATACTCTTGGTTTTTGTTCTTAGCACCATATTGAAAAATTTGAAGTTTAAGAATAATTTCCAATTTTAAAAAATAGGTATCCAACAGCTGAGCTTCATAGGAATGTCATGTTATGTAACAGATGGAAGTTTAATGGAGTAAAGCACAGTTTGTAACAGGTTCATTGTTTCATATGCTCTGGATCACTAAATTGGCAGGTAGAGATGAAAGGTGCATTAAAATGGACGTCCTGAAAATTATATAATTCTCTCAAGGGAATTGTATTTAATTTTGAATTATACAGCTAATTTTCATGAATTGAAAGCTACATTGCATAACCTTTTTTTTTTTTTTGCAGGAAGAAATTGTGAGTTGTGTAATGATTTCTTCTATCGGCATATAGATGCAGATCTCTCAGCTTTGGATGTTTGTAAACCCTGTGAATGTTATTCAGCAGGCACCAAAAATGGCAGTTGCCTTTGCAATAAGGTAAGTGGCTTTGTCCTCAAGTTACTATTAAATTGGCTGCTATTGGCACTAATTCCCATTATCAAGAATGAAAAAAAACGGAGAGGATTCACCAAGTTCTTGGAAATTTCTTTTACTTTTTTAGATTTCAATATTTCTGCTTTACCAAATTCTCAAAATGAAATAACACTATACAAAGAATTCATGAAATACAGTATGTTAGAGATACCATGATAAGTATAGCCTTTATCTCATCCTTTAGAGAAATATGGAAATCTGTTGTAAGGAGGAATGCAAGGGTGGTTATATAAACACCAGTTTAGCCCTGAGAAAGGGAGGGAGGGAGGGAGAAACAGAGACAAACAAACAGACAGACAGATAGACCCTGTCAGGCTGTCAACATTCTATATTATAACTTGCAGTAATAGATTCCGGAAGTCCTAGTGGAGTTTACCCTACCTCAAGGGAATGACACCCTGCCAAGACAAACAGGTTGCCTGAATACATGTTGCCCTTAGTAAATTCTACTGTTTTAAGAGAAGCTCCCACCTACATAAATGTGTATAGGATTGCACTCAAAGAATATCTATAAAAGAATGAACCAGATGGTTCACTCCCACTTTCCTTGCTAGATCCCATGGATATAGGAAAGTTGACGGACAGTTTCCTTTTGAGAAAAGAATGTATAGTTCAGGCAAGACTGGGTTTTGATGAACTATAAATATTGGGATAAATATTAGAAAAGGGGTTAATGATAGAGTACATTAAAATCAGAACCTGAAAAAGGTTAAGAAACAGCATATATTTTGAAAAAAGGCAATGTAGCTTATAATTGCTGGCATCTTATGTTTCTCATTGTCTATGGACTTTTCTAATAGAAAGCAACCTTATATTATCAGTTCATTGGTGAATTTAACTTAGTAGTTTCTACAATTTGGCTTTGAAATGGATTCAGAAAGGAGAAAATATTTGTTTCTTCCTACATGAAAGAAATTCTTTTAAAAAGAATGGTAATAATTTTGGTGAGAATTTTAAAGCTATTTTCTCCAGATACCTTAAATAGGACAAATGTGGAGAACAGGATTTAATATAAACTCTGTCTGTCTGTCTCTATAAGAATGTCAGATGATACAAGGTAAAATGTCAAAAATCATGGTAAGAGTCTTCTAAAATGTAGGGAGATGATTTCAGAATGGAGTAAGGAAGAGTTCAGAAGGCAGTCATGTCTATATCAGTTTATTATTTTATTTACCATAATTGAAAAAAACCCTAATTTCATATAAAAGGTTGCCACTGATTTTAAACTCTTGGTTTTCATTTCCAGGTAAGCAATATAGTGTATTGATCAACCCATCTATTTCAAAGGGCAAGAAAACTATATGGAAAGATAGATGAAAATTTCTTACCTTATCACATTTTGGTACCCCAGTGCAGTGATGAGAAATATCTTGCCTTGGAACATTCTGAACATTCTTTTGTGTTATGTATGTTTTTCTGCTCACTGAGAACAGTCTTTAACTGGTACCTTTGCTTGTTCAAAAAACGTGAAAAACTAGGCAGTTTTGATGCCGTCTATCCATGAAGAGCTCATTGCTTTTACAATCCTTTACTGCAAGCCAGCAATGTGAAATACAACACTGCTGACATTAACCTTAAGTAATGAGTCTGTTTTTGTGTTCCTCATAAAGATGCCTGTTAGACCAAGACCATAAAACCTGGACAATTCTTTAGATTCCCAGAAGCAATTGAATATCACAGGGTGTGCAAAGAATGAATAGATGGAAAATAAATCCTTACTCATGGTCAGTCATGCCACGGTGTCCTCCCATTTGGATTACTGCAATGCACTCTATATGGGGCGGCCCTTGAAGACCACCTGGAAACTTCAACTGGTCCAGAATGCAGCGGCACACACAGTGATGAGTATCCCTAAGTTTATCCATGTAACATCTCTGTTGCATCAGCTGCACTGCCTTCCATTTTTTTTCCAGGTGCAAATCAAGTTGATGGTTATCACCTTTAAAGGTGATCACCTTTAAATATGGCCAGATTATCTTCAGGACTCTCTTTTCCTAAAATCATATACTCACCCTACCAGGTTAGATAGGCTGGGCATGCTCCTAGTCCCTACCCTTAAACACTGCCACCTTATAACAATTCCTTTTCTATGGAAGCCCTGTCCTAGGGAGCACTCTTCCCCTGAAGTTCAGCAGGCCTCTGTCATCCTAGCCTTCCATAAAAGCACTGAAGATCTGGCTTATCTCTCAAGGACGACATGACTGCATGTCGGAAGCATGGGTTTTTGATTGTAATGATTAGGATTTCAGTCATTTTTATATGATTTTTATGGGAGACATCCAGAATGTGATATAAAATGGGTGGCTATACAAATGTTTTAAATAAATAAATCCAATGCTGCTTCTGAAATTCTAGTTTTAATTGTTGATTATTCCACATTGACAATAGCTTAATGTTAAGTTGTTCTAATTGTAGGTAATAAGGCAGTTGCATGGTTTTCTTCTTTTTCTTTTGTTCATTTTAAAGACTGAAGCTTAGCAAGAGTGAGATATTAGGTGAAACACCAAGATGATATAAAAAAGAAAATAAGGAAAAATGGGCTGGTCTATACAGCTCAATAAGGCATAAATAGACTGTAGCAGTAAAACCAAGATAGAGCGGAATGATTAAGAGGCATTAAAAATAGATTAATAAGTCTGGAGAAAATGGGCAGAAATGAATTACATGAAATAGAAAGGCATTATTGAAGGAAGTGTTTCCAAGGCTGACCCATGGAAGATGGAATCGTAAGGAATAAGGTCCTGGCTCATGAAAATTAATTGTCACGTCACAAGGATAATTTTCAAGAAAGTGTGTTTAAATGGCTCAGAATACACTTTCCCTGCATAATTTACCATTCCGAGCAGTTCATCAATGCTTTTCTGTAAAGAACCAGTTATATGTCATTTAGCCTAAACGAAGATACAGAATTCCAGAAGAGAATAAGTATATAGGTTTTATCCTTATAGATTTTTTTAAAAAAATCCTTCAGTTTAGGGAAAATAATATTTCTTTTATTATAAAAGCACTTTATTATGTTCTGAAGGTATTTCAGTTGGACTTAAAAAAATACTCATAATCCAGGATGCAATTTCAGTAAATTTGCAATAAATGAGCTTAATAAATATGAACATTGTATTTATTCAGAAGTGAGGACCAATTGATTGGAATGGGATTTTCTATATATATGATGGCAGCCTAAATTAAGCCATTTAAATCCCATTAATTTCCACCAAATAGTTTTTGATTTCAATTTAAATGTTTTGAGAATCCTTAATTTTAAAGTTTGAATCCATGCTTTAAAAAAAAAGTTTGGAATTTAGATAAAGGCAACTGTCCAACTCAGGTTCAATATGATCCAACAAAATTAAACACTTTTAAGAACCTGTTCGTGAAGTCCAAATACAAATTACAGTTTTTTCACAAGGGCAATCATAAGATTGAGAGCTATTCATTCAGCATTTCAAACTGTGTCACTGAATAAAAAAATCAGGCATCAGGGTGATTACATGGGGTTCTCCTACCCTGCTTGAGGGTGATTTCTGAATGATAAGGGGAGGAAGTTGTAGTGGATTCCTGCATTGCAAAGAGAATTGCAAGAGATTATCTCCAAGATCCTTTTCTGTGAAAGTTACATACAATTATTTATTTATTTATTTATTTGATTATTTATTTATTTATTTATTTATTTATTTATTTATTTATTTAATAAATATGCTGCCTGACTACAAGCAAAACAGAATGATATATTGCTGATTGCTTCTGTAATTAGGCATTGAACTAGAGAATATGCAACAGGAAATATGGCTGTTATTGGTAGGCAATAAGATTAATACTTAAGGTAATATCCAACTTAAGTCTGAAAGAAATTGGTGAAAAGATTACAGAATAAAATATGTCACTTACTTATGAAGGAAATATACATATGTTTGCAGGTACTTGTGATAGTATCATCAGTTAGTTTAGAATATATATATTAAAATGTCAGTGTTTTTTATTGTAAAAATAAAAAAGTAGAAAAGCAGCTTACTAAAGTTCTAATTTAATTGATTTCCTATTCTCTTACCATTTTTTTTCCTTTCAGGTCACAGAGATTCAGTTATGACTCAATTGATCTCATGTTCTTTTAATTGAATTTAGAAGATCTAGCATTTTTTCCCCCTAAAGGCTATTAGAATGCATGAAACTTTATGCTTAGTGAAGTGAGATGCTAGTTTTCAGGGAACAAATCCATTCCCTTGAAACTATGATTTCTAAGCTGTAATAGTTAACAATTGCTGAGTGGTACGTAGACAAGAATTTTCAAGATGTACTTTCTAGCTGAATAAATGTGTTGGAGAATGATATCATTTTGAGGAAGTTATTTCCATAGGAAAGACCTAATCCTAGGGTAATCCATTGACAACCGTTAATTCTGAAATACCTGCAAGTGGTGATTCAGTCATTATAAATCCAGAAATAGAGAGACTTGTGACAGTCATGTACATTCTGTAGTGATTCCTGATCGATATGAAAGTTGCAGCCACTATAAACAATCTAGACAAGCTGCTGGACAGTTTTGGGGAGAGGAACATTTCCTGTACTACAGAAGTTTTTTTTTTTTTTTTTTCAAATATAAAAAAAAAAAAAAAAGTTTTTTTCCCCTTTTCTATGCAATCATGGTTGATTCTTAGACTTCTGGACAAGTCCCTACCAATTTCTTGGTAAGGTTTTTCAGAAGTGGTTTGCCATTGTCTCCGTCCTAAGGCTGAGAGAAAATGGCTAGTCCAAGGTCACTCAACTGGCTTTGTGCCTAAGGTTGGTAGGACTAGGTCTCACAGTCTTCTAGTTTCTGGCCTGATGCCTTAACTACTACAAAAAAACTGACTATCACTAGAGAAGATTCAGCATAGCTATCTGAGTCTCTTCTTTAGGTGAATGTATTGACTTCCTGCTGTTTCTCTAGTTCTCTTTTTTAGTGAATAACTGTTTTTGTTTGAAGATTATCTAACCTACCAATACATTCATATCACTAATGAGTATGCACAAGGCAAGAGAGGAAAAGTGCACTCAACATTTGACCACACTTTTTATATATGTTTTTTTTTAGATTGGAGGAAAATGTAATTGCAAAAGACATGTGTCTGGTAGACAATGCAATCAATGCCAGGAAGGATTTTACAATCTGCAAAAGTTCAACCCTGATGGCTGCAGCCCTTGTAGCTGTAATGCCTCTGGGACAGTTGATGGAGATACTACCTGTCACCAAAATTCAGGCCAGTGCAAGTGCAAAGAAAATGTTATTGGTAAGTGCCAGGCAAGAATCTACATCCAGATCTCTTTGCTTTTTCAAGACATAAAATGCTTGATGCCAAAATAATTGAAACCCGGATCAGACATGCAGTTTTCATGAGAATGTATACAAATCTGATTTAGCAGCATATACTTACTGAATACCCCTACCAAAAATCATCTTAAACTAAATATAATCTGCTATTCAGATTTTTCTGTAGTTAGCAGAGATTTGTAGGTATCCCAACAATACCCACTTTCAAGTAGTAAAATGTAATGTATTATTTGCTTAAGATTTATTTTTGGAGAACAGCATTTTTTCATAGTGAAATAAATATAATGCGCTGTAAGCTAAGTTTCTATGTCAGCTTCCAAAGGGCAAATGGATCTTTCCTCAAAATATTTTTTACTATAGGGTTGCTCCCTCCTTCTTTCTTTCTTTCTTTCTTTCCTTCCTTCCTTCCTTCCTTCCTTCCTTCCTTCCTTCCTTCCTTCCTTCCTTCCTTCCTTCCTTCCTTCCTTCCTTTCTCTCCTATGAACGTAAAGGTCAACAGAACTCTATAAAATCTATGTACTCTAGGATTTGTAATCATGGATCACTTAAATTTAATTTTTTAATTCAGTGTTAATTTAGTTATAATAAAATACAATCCTCACGGCTATTTATCATTTTTAACAATACATGCTTTTTTGTTTTCTAATCCCACAAGATTTTTCCAGAAATTAGATTTGATTAGGGGAGACACAACTATCTAACAACAAAATTTATCAAGTTCCCAAAATATAAAATGCATGTAATGCACTTTGAAATGTTGATAAATGGCAATAATACACAGGAGTGGCTTTGTTTGTTGGTTTTTGATGAAAGGAATGATAACTCTACGTCTTTCATACATGTGATTTTAATATTAATATTAATATCCTCCTATTAATATCCTTCCACTAATATTAACATCCTTCTATTAGAATCTGTTTTATTGTAGAAATAATATCATACTTCCTGGAGAGAAAAGTTTTAAAATACTAACAGTCCTTTGTTTACCTGTAGGATTTCTGAGTACAAGGTTAGAGTTTTGGTTTTAGTTTCACCAAAAAAATAATTATTTGAAAGCACTTGTGCAACTAATGTATAACCCAGGAAATGTAATGACAAAACCTATTCTAGACTTAAGTATGCCAAAAGGCATTTTGGGGGATGGGAGGGACATGTTTGTTTCTTTGCCAATAAACTAGTTAAAATGTAATATACATATTATATGTATACATATATGTATGTATGCATGTACAGTATGTATAAATCTTAACATATCTTTATTTTGGGGGAGAAAAAAAGAATCTATATATAATCTCCTAATTTCTAAGGAAAATTATTAGATGTAATTTCAATCATTTAGCTGAATAGTTACTCAGATTTAATAAACTATATATAAACTATTTTATATATTTGTTATTAACCATTTGAAAACAGAAGTTAAAGTAACCACAAATTCACTAAAACTCTAAAAGTAAGGGTTTTATAAGATACATTATCTTACAGGGTTCTCGTTTGTCCTGTTTGATACTTAAGATTCTTTTCTAATTGGAAAATATTTTTAAATAATAAAAATTAAAGAAATCAAGCTTAAGTTGTCATCATTGTGTATAAACAGATGGTTTCCTCATACTGGGGCAAAAAACAAGAAGTGAACATGCCTATAATTTTATTAAGAAATTATAATAAACATTGGAAGGTTCTGTTTTACTTTTTAATTGTATATGGAGGATCACAGTGTTTTCTATATACGGCACTGAACAAACTGAACAAAACTGTAATGGGTGGAGGTAGACTTTGACCAAGGCATTTGAGAGGCATTGAGCACCTATTCTTCAAGCTTATAATCTAGAACAAGGTCAGAAAATATACAGAAAGCAGAAAACTTACAAAGTCACTTTGAAAATCAATAAGGGTAAATGATTACACTCTAATGTGTAATTGTATAACACAAGCATAAAATATATGCATATACATATATAAAAGACCTGGGGGAAAATGTTTGCCTAACGTTTGGGTAAGACATTCCTGTCACTGGAGTACCAACGTGAAAAGTTCTTTCTTAACTACTTGCCCATTGTATTGTTTATCTATTCTATAACAAATTTATATTTCCCCATTTGTTTGAGATAGCAGTGTATAAAGCATTTCCTCCCATGAGGTAGGACATTAACTTCCATACTTTCATTAACTGTGTATAAAGTAAACAATCTGATGTACCCACTATTGCTAGTTTTTTTAACTACTGCACAAAATATTGAAAGAGTCTTCATGAAAGATGTGTATTTATTTTAAATAAACATGTGAATACTTTAAAAAAATGCTGGTTGTACATTACAAGTAACCTTAGAGGCTGTTGTCACTATATCAGTTTAAAAAAGCCTCATAACCGAAAATGTAACTAAGCACAGCAGTGTTATAGAACAGGCCCTGTTCAAGTTAGCACAACTGTTAAATCTTACTAATGATCCTATCACTACTAAAATACATTAGCACCAATAATTTTATTAAAGTAGGTGATTTATCTAGAATAAAAAAGGGGAGAAGAATGTGAATTAAATGCCAAGCATGTTAACTCCCCTGTACTTGTTAACATTGAATGGGATGCCCTGTAGGCCTTTGCTAGTATCGTTAGCAATAGATTACCTGTCAGGAATATGTATGGCATATTCAAATAAGCACGGTGCATATTTTTAAAACTGATACGATATGAATCCGTGTAGACCAATTTTAATAGTTCAAAATGAGTCATAATTCTTGTTAACAATACAGTTATTTTTAAAATTTGCAGCAATAGTGCTCTTTTTTTATTTTCCTTATTGAAATTAAATGATATGCCTTAGGTGAGCCATTCATCACTGCTGAAAGAACTTGCCTTCTATTGGAGTTCTCCACTTTTTGCCCATATCTAATATGTTTCCCACTGTTTGGGGATTTGTTTTTTCAACATACAATATTCTAAGTATAAATTTGTGTACCCATGTGGCTTTTTGAAAGGAAGAAGATGTTTGTTAAGACAGGGAACTCCTGATTTATTTAATTTAACATGTGACACAACCAACTGGACAATTACAATTTCATTTTATTTTTTAAATAAAGTATTCAACATTAAAATCTTCATTTTTAAAAGAGGTGAAGCACTTCTCAATTTATTCACTTCACTTGTATATTAATAGACTGTACATTCCCTCAAGATTTAAAAAAAAAAACATAGTCTTCAAGGCAGCTTAAACTAACTTTCAAAAGAAAATTGATAGAGGCTGTTTGATGGTCCTTCTTTATTTCTTAGCTGTACATGTATATATAATAAATATCTATATCATCCCTCCCTCCCTCCCTCTCTCCCTCTGTCTCTCTCTGTCTGTCTCTCTGTCTCTGTCTCTGTCTGTCTCTCTGTCTCTCTGTCTCTCTCTCTCTCTCATAATATTATGGCTTGGTGGAACATGGAAAGATCTAGATCAGCACAGTCACTGTTTTAACATTTACACAAGGAATCAGATTAATTTTATTAAATAACTTAAAATGGATTGCAAACATGGATATTTAATATTATAATTGAGATAGACTGAGAATATTTTCTTGGCATAGATTGCAAAATGATTCCTAATTACTATTTATAAATTTTACCAATATTAAATATATACAAATAGGCCTTGACTTACAACTGGTCAGATAGCGACTGTTCAAAGTTATGATAGATCTATCTGGGGGCTACTTATAATCTGAATTTGAAGTTTCACTGGTTGCCCCTCCCCACAGTCATGGGCACTTGGCAACCAGGATGTATTTATGGTTGTTTATAATGTCCTGCGGTCACATAACCACATTTTATGATGGTTTTACCCAAACTTGGCATTTACTTGAGGTTTTTGGCAAAACTGTTCCAAGAGCAATGATTAGTTCACTTAATGACTACAGTGTTTGCTTAATGACTACTGCAAGAAACACCATAAAATAAGGTCAGTCACATGAAAGACCAATTTTAAAACCACCATGACTTAATAACTATAAGAAGAGGACTACCTGGGTTTATAAACCTATCACTGTGAAAAAGGAAGATTTTCATAGGACTTAGGATCTGAGCTTCGCCCAGATCCATCTTTCTACCTATAGTATATCTTACTAATCCTTCTCTCTTCAGTTCGTTCTCCTTTCAAAATGTAAACTGGGAAATGTTGCGATGATGGGAGTGATAGTTCTAATGCCCACCCATCTTAAGGCATGTGCTGAAATACCAAGTGTTAAGTCCTGGGAATAATGGCGCTTGAGACGATTCATCTTCAACAAGTCTTTATTGTTTGCTCCACTCTACGAACAACCAGAGCAGAGGCACGCAGGCCTCTATTTATACCCTCTGATCCCCGGGCAAGTTCAACCAATCATGAGGCGGGCTTTTCCCGCCTTGCGCATGCGCACAAGGCCGGCACCGCTCAGTCTGGTCCCGGGCAGCTTCTGCAATTGCCCGGGACTCTTGCAACGTCCCGAGCCTGCATCTTGCAGGCTCAGGACACAACACCCCTTTCCCCTGGATGAAATAAGATTGCGCCCACATGGACGCCATCCTATAGATGGTAATGTAATTAATAATAAAATAAAGTTACACAATGTATAAGGTGTGGGACTGTTCATTTGAACCAGATCCAGTGACTCCCCCCGACCTTGTTTTACTTAAATACAACCCGCCAGTACATTCAGTCAGCTCTCGCTATGTACCTATTCACCTTACATAATCGGCTAGGTATTTGGGAGGACCTCTTGCCCTGAGTGACCTTCTCAGACCTGGAGAGTTTGTATAGTTATCTCTGTGGCCGCTTGCTCTAGGTGAAGTGCCCTGTGAATGACCAGTGACTTCAGCTTGGCTTTCCAGCCCGTCTCCTGTAATTGAGCAGTCCGGGCCCTGTTGGTCGTTAAACCTGGTTGACCAGCCCTCAATGGAGTTATCTAACCCCTGTGAGTTCATTCCCGTGTTCCCTGAAGGAATGT